GAGGAGTTCCTTTTTCTGGCGTGTGGGTTCTCGAACATCAGATAATCATGCCTTAAGATTCTAATGGCATTGCCGTGTGCCGGGTCGAGTATGCGAGCGAATGCGTGAGAGCAGAGAAATGATCAACCACCGGGATTAGACCATTCCATTTCACAGTCAGGCATTCTGTCAATGTCCTGTGCCGCACTCAGCCGTTGTTCCACCAGCCCGTGTCGTATCGGCAAATGAACGATTGTGTTCCTATGTCGGCGAGTATGCAATGTTTCAGGAGCAAGAGTGACGATTGTTGATAGGTGGCAGGGTCTGGGTTTCTCCTTGACATGGCTCCGAACACCAAAAAGGTCACTGATAGTAAGATAGAGGGGCATTCGGGTCTCTATGCGGCGCAGGGTCGAACGGGTTGGGGCGCATTGATCCTCGTCGGATGTTGCGGATCCCACCTTCCTGATTGTGATGCTCGCATTGCGACGTCCCATCACCTCCATGTACAGTTAGCTGAGGGTATAGAGCTGCAGATGCCAGGGGATAAGTCCACCTGGAGTGTTAAGCTCCCGCGCTAAGCAGCGTGGGCCCTCGAACAAGAGTTCTCCCATTGCATGGCGTTGCTTGACGTCAATGCATCGGGGACTGCTCCAAGACGTTTCCTTCGCGCACTTTCAGTTCTATGGTACTGGGTTGGACTCCAATATGGCGGTTCGCGGCCGGCGTGATTGTTGATGCCCGTTAGCGTTCGCGGTCAGAGTCGCTTGCGTGCGCGTGCTCTCGCCAGCTAGCCAAAGACACGACTAGCCGAGGCTGATGCGTCTTAGCGCCAGGGTCTGACGGAAGCTTCTACCCCTGAACGATCCAGGCGAACAACTCCTATCCACTCTTTCCTGACACCTTCAGATCCTTTTGATCGTATTCCAGGCCATGCACTTATCGTGTCCGGCTCTAGCGGCTCTCTGATAGGGCCTTGATCGAACTGTCAGCTCGTACTTGCCCAGTCTGTCATGGTGTGGGGATAGCCCAGGGGTTCGCATGGACACCCTCCGCTACTAATGGTTAGCTGTGCTCAGTCGACGCTTGTCAGAATGGACGCTCGTATCAAATGGGGCACTATCTGAAGGCGGCTTTTCTCTCGAGTCTTGTCCATTTCTTGGGATTCTTGTCTCTCTCCAACTTCGCCTCTCGACCTCACAACTTACCCTCAGTCATTCGTTAATACAGTCGCGCGTTGTTCACTCGTTATGCAATCATGATGCCAAAGGCGTACCGTCTATCTTTTTCGCACCTCGTCTTTTACATTTCGACCTTTGTGATCGCAACCCAGTTATGGTCCATATGGGGGCAATCGAAACACAACTATATTCCTTTTTCACACCATAGGAATCTTCAGCGAGACTGGGACTTCAACGCCGACCTGCATGCCAATGTGCACACACTCAGCCATGACCAATGCGATTCCGCCTTTCCAAAGCTGTATCACAGCTTAGATCAGTCGGTTAACCTAAGGCAAGGCAGAAAGGTGCATATTCAGGATATCGAAATCGATCAGGGAAGATGCATGCTACGGGTTATGGTATACGAGGGCGAGGTACGTCTATACGCGTCTGGTCAATTTCCGGGCTACAACTAACCTGCCACTCCTAGCTGTTTGTCGTCGATGCCGGAAAGCCAGAGGAATGCTACGTCACGAACGGAAACGAGAGAGAACGCATTCTAGGAACCCTAGCACAAATCGACCGCGCCGTCTCCACCACCTCAACATCCGACCCCTCGATCCCAAACGTCGAATTCTCCCTCTCGCTCGATGATCTGCCGCGGCGATCCAGGAAACAGGGAACATTCTTTGGGTACACCCGGAAGGAGGGTCCGGAGTACAAGGACATTTGGATGATGCCAAACTACGCGTACTGGGCGTGGAACTATACCCATGCTCCAAGCTGGAACAGCATCAGGAAAGAAATTGAGCAGAAGGAGACCGAATTGCCATGGGCGAAGAAGGACCCTAGGATCGTATGGCGGGGCAAGGTCAAGATGGCTAAGCTGAGGAAGGAGCTGGTCCGAGTCAGCGAAGGCAAGGAATGGAGCGACATCAAGCCTGTGGTCATCAACAACGCCAGCGACCCGCATACCAAGGACGTTATGAATCTGAGGCAATTCTGCGGGTAAGAGACAAAGCTACGACATGGGTATGAAACCGTACTGACCGTCTTCTAGATACAAGTTCACCGTCCAAACCGAAGGTACCTCGTACTCCGGCCGCCTTAAGTACCTCCAGCTTTGCCGCTCAGCCCTCGTTACACACCCTCTCGAATGGCAAGAGTTCCACACTCACCTAATGAGGCTTGCTGGTCCCGACGTGAACTACATTGAAGCGTCCGAGAACTTTGGAAACCTCGAATCGGCTATGGAGTACTACCGTGCGCATGACAACGAAGCTGAGGAGATTGCAAAGAACAGTTACGAGACCTTCACCAGAAGGTATCTGACACCAGCGGCAGTGACTTGCTACTGGAGACGGCTGTTTTGGTCATGGGCGAGTGTACAGGGATATGAGCCACAGTTGTACGTACCTGACAAGGACGGCAATCTGGTCATGCGAGGTACACCATGGACTGCCTTTGCGGCCAATTGGCCCAAGGATCCTGCAGCTATTCCGTGAGCGGGAATAAGAAGTGTTAGGATAGGCGTTGCATGAGCATTTGGAGTACTTGGTTTTATGCTTACGATACCCGCGTTCAAGCGTTCCAATAGACACGCATTATTATCTACGTTTACAGTAGTCACTTGAGGCGGAGCTTTGTCCTTTTCAGTCGTGTTTTAGATGGCTTCGACCGCCTTTGTCCTGCATCATAGGATTCAAGCGAGTAATATAGGTCCATTAACCCGCACTCACATGCACATTTACCCTTGTACTAAACGTTGACGCTTGACGCCCAGCTGCGACTATAACAAGGATTTGTCTTGACTGCAAATCCTACTTGACGGACTAGACTGAACCTGAATGATCTCTGGTGCACAGCTGATCGGACAGCATGTTTGACCTATACCCTGATCTTTACCACTATATCTTGCAGTTTGGCGCACGCTCGTTTGCGGCTCACGCTAGTGTGCCTAATTATGTATAAACACACGCACGCTGTAAGTTGATAAGATCCTAGAGCAGAGATTTTGATTGAGCGGGTAAGTATATAGAGAGAGGTGAGGTCGTTCTACATGAGGGTAATAGTACAAAGGACCAAAAGACAGTCGACAGCGCTGAGCTTTGCAAAATACATTAAGGAACGTCCGCAAACCACTTGTGCGCCAAAGCCTCAGAAGCTGTGATGCGTCGTTTCGGGTCCATACTCATCATCTTCGTCAAAAGATCCTTCAGATCTTCGTCGAGATCGCTCCACAGGCAGAGTGGACGTCGCGGATAGTCTTCGCTGAAATTCGCCATCACGAAGTTCAGGTAGCCAATCCAGGGGCTATCTTCCAAGTAGGTGATCAACCCTTCCATATCTTCTAGGTCGCTGAAATATGAGACCTGACGTCGAACGACGATGGCCTCGATTGGATTGTCTTCTGTAGCCTTTTTTGGATCTACAGCGAGAACTGCTTCCTTTGTCACGGCGTATATGCACTGCGAAATTGAGTTACCCATTGAAGCACGATGCAAGTGGTAGGCCACTTACAACCAGACCGAAGGAGAACATGTCTGTCGGCTTTTGTATCGCTGCCGCTGCGTGCGCCTCTGGACTGCGCCACATCCAGTTTCCCCACTGCCTGCCACTGATGTAATGGTTATCCGGGAGGCGAACCATATCTTCCATGTCAGCAATCTGCACTTCTTTGACTTCTAGCTCCCCTCCTTGATCGTTCCAATCCAGCAATATATTGTTTGGCTTTATATCGGTGTGCACCATCCCTTTGGCGTGTAGCGCTACGAGCCCACGCAGAGCGTCTCGAAGGACGAGTTTTGTTGTGGAAAGCGGAACGTCTTTCTGAACGAAAGACAGTAAGTGGTCACGTCGGTATGGATGTATGAAAGTGCAATGTTCTGAGTCGGTGTCTTCGGCAACACGTACGTGAGGCGTACCGCGAAGAGTGTCAAACATGGTCTTGCAATGCTTGTAAGTTTTCTCAGGGACTGTCTTCAGTACGTACTTCCGATCCTCAGAGCTGTAAAAGACGTCAGACGAGTATCATGTTGTTTGTTTGGGATAGTGTCAACTAACGTGGCAAGATACACACGTCCATGGTTGCCCGGCCGATCTTGAAGTAGTCGTTCGACAACGTAACGGCGACCCGACTGCCCAATTACTCGCGTCAGGGCAGCGGCTCTTGCGATGGGAGCATTGGACATTCGTGTTGATAGTCAACAGAGTTGAACAGACCCAATGATTTGGGCTCTACCTAGGTAGATGGCGACTTGTAGCAATGGAAGGCGCGTTCAATTGGGTAGCAACGAATGTGAGAGCGGACAAATCGTGATTCGAGACTGAACTGCACTAGTAGCGCTTGTATTGCAAAGATCTCACGTGCGTGTCAGGTCGTTGCCTGAAGATGACGCGCCCAGCGCCCACAGTCGTTACCCCAGACCCCTCATCTCGAAATCTCGCTAAACTCTGGGAGGCACAGTCGGGTTGCAGGAGAGAAGAGGCAGAGCAGCGGAAGACGTGGCAATGGGAGCAGACAGCGTATAGCAATCGCCTGCTGAAGTGCGAACGTAGTGCTAGACACAAACGATCGATGAACGTGTAGTGGCGTCTCTTCTCATCAACTTGATAGAGTGATTTGGCGCGTGCACACGTGCGCACGTGATTGCGCGCCTGACGTGCTGCGCCTCCTCTCCGATCTTTGCGACGGACATGCATCGACTCCACGACTACACGCCATCTCTAATGACGGTGAATAGGTACGCGCATGCTGCCAAACTTCAGGACCGCATGTCCCTCTCTTCACTAGACACTGTCCAGTTGCAAAGACCCGCATCGCGTTTCCCGCTGCTCCGCAACCCCACACTAGCTACTATGCCGCCCAAGGCAACACCGCCCGAATTCCCCGTACAGGCGTTTCCTACGTGTACAGATTTCGAAACCTTTCTCGAGCGCGAACATGCCACGGCTCCCGGCCTCTACGTGAAGCTCGCCAAAAAGAATTCTGGCACACCCTCAATAACGGCAGCGGAAGCCGTCGAAGTAGCGCTATGTTATGGCTGGATAGATGGTCGCGCCAACGCCTGCGATGAGACCTGGTGGACGGTACGCTACACACCACGGAGAGCGAACAGTATGTGGTCTCAGAAGAACGTCGGGACGGTGGCACGTCTTATTGAGACCGGCCGAATGCGTCCTGCTGGCCTGGCTGCCGTTGATGCTGCGAAAGCAGACGGGCGATGGGATCGTGCGTACGCAGGGTCTGCTACGATCGTAGTGCCTGAAGACCTCAAGATTGCGCTTGCTCAGGTACCTGCTGCGGAAGCTCAATGGGAAAGCATGAACAAGGGCGATCGATACACAGCGCTGCTCAAGGTAGAGACAGGTACAAAGGCCGGAAGACCCAAAAGAATAGAGAGCATAGTTCAAGCGATGGCAACAGGGAGACGCTCAAGTAGTAGTACTACTGCAGACAGGACAGCTCGGAAGGTTGCCAAGAGAGCTGAAAAGAACAGCGCGAACGCCGAACCCCACGTGCAAAAAGCAGCGCCTTCATCCCTACGATCAGGACTGTGCCGACGCAGGGACTGAGGTCTCCTCCCAGCTATGCTCATTGTTTACAGCAATCGACGAGTATGCGCCCACAGCATGTCGACGCAAAAGAGACGGTCTTTTTGGCAAAAACATACAACAGCGGGGATTCGCTAGTGGTCACCCACCTAACTACTAATCCGCCGGTACAATGCTTGTATATGGCTGAGCGGACGGGAAGCCTAATTCTCATTGTCCTATGGTCGTATGTGAAGGAATGAGCGACGCGGACCTAATATATCTTTGGTTTATATCGGGTGAAAGCTATGTAAACGCCCAGAGCCTTTCCGCTGGAGGTCCGGCCCTGTCACCTTACAGTCCCTGCTTCTCGCAGATCCGGCGAATCTCATTCCATGTCTGTGACTGCAGCTTCTTCCCTTGGTACCCAATGACCAGCTCACCTGGACTGCTGGGGTTCAGTGTTTCCTATGGTATGCAACACTTGTTCAGAGGACTTACTCATCCAAAATGTCATCAGATCAGAATTGGTTGTGACCGATCTTTCCCAGAAGCGTGGCACTGACCAACTCGCGCGCTCCTTGTTCAGCTGTGCGTCCCACAAACATTTGCATCAATTTTGTTGGCATCGCGAGATACCATGGGAAATCTCTCCCCAGATCTGTGGTGCAATAGCCCGGGCATGCAACATTGATGAAGACGTCGATATTTCCTTGGGCGTCCTTGGAGAAGTCGTCGACGAGGCCTTGTCGTATGTACTGCGTGACCAGCTTGATCAATTCATACGTCTTCGCGGCGTTGAAAGCAGTGGGGTCATTCAGCTTGTCGATCAATGTCTGACCACTCTTGACTTCAGCGTCTGCAGGCGTGACATACTTGCTAGCGAAGCTGCCAGTTATGGTGAGCTGGCCTGGAGTACCCTTGGACGCGTTACTTTTGAGGCTGGGAAGCAGTAGCATGGCGAGATACGCCGTCGATAGGATATTGACTTGTAGGGCTGCCTCGTAGCCTGTCTTCTCGTTCTCGACATAACTCGGAGGTGCGACCCCCGCGTTCAAGACGACGATATTAATCTCGTCGTATCTGCTGGTGACATCGTTGGCGAAGGTTTTGACAGATGTCCAGTTACTCATGTCGAGCTCGAGGATATCAATGACTTCGGCTTTACAGCCCGTCTCTGCGATGATAGAGCGCTTGGCTTCTTCCCCCTTTGAGAGATTGCGTACTGCGAGGATGACTTTGGAGGCACCGTTGGCAGCGAACTTGGTGGCGGCAGGCAAGCCGATCCCAGTATTTGATCCAGTGATGATCACTGTCTTTCCCACAAAGGACGATTTTGGGTCTTTAGGCGGGTTTTGCTTAGCCCATCGCATCGCTGCTATCTGCCCTTTCACAGAAGCAGGTGGGCCGGGACCGATAAGTGATTGGACATTGACATCGGTCGCCATGTTAGGTTTTATTTACAGATGAGATAGAAAGAAGGAAATGTAGATTTGGAGGAAAGAGGTAAGAAGATCACAAAGGCCCTTAGTCGACTTAGGGGCAGATTTCATTTTGTACAACACGCAGCAGTCACAACTATGGGGTTCAGGGGCGTCGCGACTCATCCGCTTCCCGTCCTGCGGAACTCCGCAGTACTGAGGCGGACGAACTTCACAGATGTATCGCCAAATCATTAACTGATGCTTTCGGTCTTGTCTTACTTTTGTATCAGCTTTTGCATAATGTAAAGACGTTTGCAAAAAGCCGATAATTTAGATGCGAATATGTACTGAGTTCAAGATCACTTGGTATCGCTCTTTGAGTCTCGTGTTGCAGGTGCAGGATTTTGTATATCACTGAATACCTAAACAACTTAGGCTGCCGTTGACTGCGGAATAGCGCTTTGGTGCTTCTGTTGACTGAGACCTAACAATTGTAGTGTAAACTACCTACGAGGAGTATTGGCCTGACTATAATTACCCCACGGTTGGCTTCCCACCTCCTGATGCAGGGACGTATCTCCGCAGCTGCACTAGGTTGTTGACCCCTTGCATCCTTTTGAGCACGTATCGCACAGACGATGAGCAGGTTGATTATTTGGACTGGTGGTTTTCGGGGCGTGTTCTCTTAGGTCTTCGCTATCTCTTGAGCGTTGCGGATTATACTTATCCTGATATCTCGTGGCCTGAAGTTAGCCGCACACTATTTCCATCTCTTCCAGTATGGGTAATCTTAGAGAATTGCGACAGTTCGACTGTGCCATCTATTGGTACTTGCGCCAAATGAGTTCAACAACAGCCCGAGAGTGCCCTAGATCAAGCTCGTATCTACAAGAATAGCTGGGATAAATTGGCGATCGGGGGACAATACTATCGCATATTGCAGCGATGCCGTTCGAGTGTCTGCATGCTCGAGTCTTCCTCTCCCAGATGCTGATTCCCAATCAACTTTGGTCAAAATCTATGATAGACGACAGGACAGCACTTCTTGGGTGAAGATTTAGCACTCGTGTAGAAATTGGATATGACACACTAAACTCCAGAATAAATAGGTGCGATTGCGTTCAAACGTGGTCGATATCATGGGTTTGCTTGTTGGGAGACTGAGGTGACAGTAATCGGTCAATCTTGTAGTGCCGGACATAGTGAACTTGGGCAATTATCTCCGGCTGCCCAAGCGCCGCCACAAGTCGTCACTACCATTCCATCACAACCGCATCACAACGACCCAAACAATGACACTAGCCCGCACTTACTTGTCGCTCTTGGCTCGTCGTTACAAAACCACTGTCCATAGCTGTGTCAAGGGAAACACCCGCTCAGGGCGTCAATCTGCGCGCCGTCGGGCGACGCGACGGTCAACTACGCAACCTTGCTGGGGAAGGCAGAGTTCGTGGATCGGTGCCGCACCGCCTCTCACGGTCATTGCCTGCATCGATGCTACTGGGTATCGCCTCCAACAACCATCGCTATCGCGGTGTCACATGCTAAAATCACATGGAAGGCCGAACAGCTTGTACCACAGCTGATCAGAAGAGCTTGATCGGAACCAGGTACCACCTAATGTCTAGCATCGCAACTCTAGGTCCGACTTCGGCTCTTCCGACAATGTGTCAACGACGATCAGTATCGAAACTCGGCGCACGTATCACGAACGGAACAGTGCAATACCAATCCAAAGGATAAATTGTTCCAAAAACGACGAAGCCAAAACACTACAGGCTAAATGTAGATGTAGCAGAATGGTCCGCCCATGGTGCTCGACGCATCTTCTATGGTGATGGGCCCAGGATATGCTGCCCCCATGCTCAGGGTGTCGTTGAGTGTTGCATTGGGCGAGGTCGGGGTTCCGATGAAGGTAGGTCCATATAAGGCAGTTGTACGCTCACTCGGCTTCAGGTTCTGCCAAGTCCAGTAAAGCCTGTCAATTGACGAGTGGTGGAAGAAGAAGTAGGGATCTCCAGGAGATGCCGTGAAATCACCCGCCGGATCGCCGCCAATGATAAAGTGACCGGCCGTGTGCACGCCCATGAAACCGTTCGCGAAGCTGTTCCCCATTGGCCCACCTTGCAAAACTTCCCAAAACGTTTGGTAGTCGTCACTCTGGAGCAGAGAAACCACGTCGTCGTCCTTCAGCCATCCCTCTCCGGTGAAGCCGTTGATATCGCGCATAAGACAACGGGGGTTGTATCCTAGGCCAGACGGATCGGGATTCGGTCGGACACATTTGGATGCAGGAACCAACGGTCCGAGATTGACAGTGAAGTTCGTGAACGGTCCTGAGGTCACGCAGCCACCACCTTGGCCATGCGGAATCTTGATGACTGGTTGATCGTTCGACGGGATTCCAGTCCATGTCTGATTGCTGCATCCTTTTGCGCCCTGTCCCGAAATCGACGTTGCAGAGCCGTCGAGCAGAGGCGACTTTGTAGGATCTTTGTGCCATCTGGAGTAGCTGTCTAGATATCGGTGTACGAAATCAGCGTATGCATCACATGCAGTTCTTACAGAGACACCTACAGTAAGGTTGCGTGCCCTTGTAGCCGCATTCATTCCGCAAAGTCTGCTCATACGCCCAGGTAAAGTATCGGTGCCATGTGAGGAAGTTACCCGTAACGCTAGACATTGGTGGACAAAATCAGTACGTATCTCACATTCATGTTCCAAAGGGAGACCTACTGGATGTTGAAGGTCTGCTGCATGTGGGTGGCCACGAAATCGTCATAGCGATTTCTACAACCGGGGCACATCTCCTTTGGTGTCTTTGACGGCAGCTCAGCTAGACACTGAACCGCCCCGATGTATGCCTTCTTCTCAGCCTTGGAGAAGGTAGACCTTCAAGAGGATTAGCATGGTTATCGAGAAGCATTACGTTCCGGAGACTTACCATTCCTGCCGCACTTGGACGTTGCTGGGGTTGCACTTTTCGTACTGTGCGGGCTTTTGAGTGGCTTGATAGAGCTGCTGGTTGATTGCAGCGCCACCAGCCATGAGGTCCTGCTTGATACTACCCAAGCCAGCGAGGATGTCGTCAACATGGTCGAAGGGTCTCTTTTTGAACTGCGCTCGGTCGTGGGGAAGCGCATTCCCCACGGCCAAAGGCAGAAGTAGGGCGACTTGAAGAACACCCCGCATGGTGTGTGGCTTGGGAAGGAGAGGCTATGTCAAGCTCAATCTGTGGGAGCAAGCGATGTTGAAGTATGACAAGACTGGAGGAGTTGACGCCGATCTTCTGAAATGAGGCTCAACTACGGTAAAAGACGTATGAAGGACAACGGGCCTACTAGCTATGCCAAGTGCACGTCTTGGACCACTTCTTATAGGTATTCACACGACATGCAAGGACCCGTAAAAATCTCGAAGGCGAGGAGCTCGGGCACCGAGGTCCTGCATGTCAAGGATACATGTGAGTGTGCGAGGTGGCCTACTACTTTGCGTAGTAGATATTCGCATTCCAGAAGAATCCGAACAGGCGGGCATGTCCAACTGGGGAAGGTCTCTCATACTCTTCAAACTCCGTGTATAGACGGCGTCACAGCCACTGCCAACTACCTGGTACTA